CTGGGGAGACATTAACTTTGGAGGCGTGACCAGGTGGACTTGGTGGTCCAGAAAATGCAGGGCACTCGATATCTACCCTCCATCCTGGACAGAAGCTGGGAATGAACCCGGTCCTGTCAAGGAGGGGCTCCCCACTGGCTCACTGGTATGTCGGGGCACATCCGGGGCATGTAATGACTGTTTACCAGCTCCCCAGAGTGTGTCAGAGGGCTGCAGTGTAATTTAAAACCGTGTGTGAAGTTCATGACAAAAGCCAGTCATATTCCTGGTAATGAAAGTGACAGCTTCTCACCCTGTCTGAGCAGCCTCCCTGGAGGACACAGAAAGGCCAGACTCCCAGACCCAAAATGTGGAAGGTGGGGTGAGCCCGTAGGCATGTGATTCATCGTGTACAAATCCTCAGGGCATCTTGGAGACTCCCAGTGCTCCACAGTCCTGGACTGTGACCAGGGAGGAGGGCAGGGCTGAGGGCAGAGGGCTGTGGAGGCCCAGAACATTTCTCATCATGGTGGTGCATGTTCCTAGCCATTGCCCTGTGGTCTAGTCTATCCTTGGGGCCTGGCCACCTGCTGGAGAGCAGCAGGGAGTGACTATGCATGCTCGAGTGCGTGTGTGCCTGTGTGTGCACACCTGCGCAGCCTTACCCAGGGCCCGCAGCTCCATGGTGATGTCCACGTAGCCGTGCTCGGCACTGTAGTACATGGCCTCCTGCAGTGCCTTTGTGCGGGTCCGGCTCAGCCGCACCGGCCCCTCGCTGCCGCTGCCCTGGCTCGACACATCGCTCTCCTCCACGCCCTCAGCCAGGATCTCCTCCAGGGACAGCACGTCCGTTTTGGCCTGCTGTGGCTGGGTCAGGAGCTTCCTCAGGATGTTCCTGCAGGCCATGGCATGAAGGAGAATGAGGATGGGATCCCCAAAATGGATGACCAGGCCCACACTGGCCCAGAAGGCTAATAATGATCTTTCCTTTCCAGGCAGGGTGGGCCAGGGCTCCCCATCTCGAGACCTGGAGGAGATGGGAGGGTGCAGGAGACCTAGATGACTGCTGTCCTGGTGTCACTGAGGGCTCCTGGGCTGTGGAGCAGAGGCAGTGCTGCCACCCTGGCCTTGTGGTCTCAGGTTGTGCTCCCTCCCTGCGTCCTAACTGCTTTGCCACCTGGAGCACAAGGCACCAACAGCATCCCCTCCCAGGGCTGATGTGAAGCTGATGTGCAGGCATTAAATGCAGCAGAGCCCGGGAGTGGGCAGTGAGAGTGTCAGACACTGGACTTGGCCTGGGCCGTTCCCCTCTTGTTAATGACAGCGGCATGAGGACGAATGACACATCAAGCTCTTTACATGGGGGATGGCAACCTGACAGCATGTTCCATGTCCTGCTGCAGTCAGCCCTGGGAGACCCTACAGGCACTGCCATTCACAGATGACAAACATGGTGCTCAGCGCCACACTGGGGCAGTGCAGACCCAGTGCCCGTGGTCTGTGGCTCTGGAGTGGCTGCAGCACAGGCAAGACCCAAGGGTCACCTGGGGGCTCAGCTGCGGCCACAGCATCCCTGCTGGGCCCCCTCCAAGCACCTCCAAGCTCATGGCCCAGAGGCCCCCCCGGGAGGACTCAGGTCACCCGCAAGAGGTTGCTGGCTACAGTTAGCTCATTTGGTGATTTGCTAGCTCCAGAGATTATAGAACACCTGGTCTGTTCCAGGTAGTGGTATATGAAGGTGAGGTGCCACAGTGCCTGTCCCTAGGGTGCTGGCGGAGAGGCCACGGGACAAATGCAGGACCTGGTGGGGCCTTGGACAGTGACATCTAAGATGGTGCGGGGCTGAGGTGGGTGAGGAAAAAGATGAAAAAAGGTATAGAGACAAAGCCCTCCGGGACAAGGCTCAGTAGTGCTGGTGGAGAGAAGGGTACCCGGTAACAGCAGGGAGGTGCCCCACCTGCCAGCTCTTCTGGGCATCTTCTCTACCCTCCATCACCTTCACTTCCCGTTGTCCCCAGTGCTGTCAACCGACTCTGATCTCAGCTTGCTGCTGTCCTCTCATAACCCGGACAGGTCTACCCTCTGCTCCAGGTACATCTTCCTGGCTGACCCATACCCTGTGTGAATGGGTACCCTGAGGCCACCATGGGCTCTGGAGAACCCTCACCAAGCAGGGTGTGTACTAAGTGCATCCTGCCAGCTGCAGCAGTAACTATCTTTCTGGAAAGCAGGATCGGTTGCTCTGGGCAGTGGGAGGCACAGGCCCAGCTCCGGGCCTGGCAGGACCTCTCTGAGCCACTCCGACCTGGAGTCTCCAGGCCGCACTCTGCTGCCGCCACCAAGGAATCCAGGTTCCTGGGAGCCTGTTTTAGCATCCCCAGGTCGCCCAGGGCAGGCATACGGGGGAGGTACCTGTGGCCGTGGGCAGCCGAGTGGCTGAAGCAATTCATGTCCTCATGGAGGGAGGAGGCCATGCCACTGGCCTCGAGCATGCTGAGGAGGGGGTCAGCGCCCCGGCTCAGCAGCAGGCTGACCAGCTCATAGTTCCCTGGAAGATAAGGAGGAAATCTGAGGAGAATGACAGGGTGGCTGGCCACCGAGGCAGAAGGCAAGGGGCAGGAGAGGGTACCTCAGATTCTGAATGATGGGGAATGATGAGGAAAGCCCTCGGTTCCCTTCCTTCATCTGGTGGGCACAGAAGAGGGAGATGCAGGAGGAAGGCTGGCTATGTCCTGCCACAGTCCCCTCTTGGGCTTGCATAGGGAAAGGCCTCCTGGCCTGATTCTCCTTTCTGGGCACAGTGCTTAGCATGATTCGACAGAGGGTCCAGAGGACACCCCTCGGGCCCAGAAGGAGGGATTCCAGGGATCCCCAAAGGGAGGGCATGTACCTACCAGCTGCAGAGGCCAGCTGCAGGGGTGTCTCCGCATAGGTGTCCTCACCACTGCTCACTGCCGAGCCCTCCACGTGGGCGCCTGCATCCAGCAGCAACTACCAGGGGCACAGAAGGGAGGGCACTGCTCAGCTCGGCAAGGGAGCATCTGGGAAGAGCCGGAGCAGCCTGGGTTGGGAGTGGGGCTGCAGCTCTCTCCAGGCGTGTGGCATGAGGCAGCTCACCCCCAGGCTGAGGAGCTGGATCTGGAGAAGCCCTGGTTACCCTCAGCTCCATGCCTGCGGGCTATTTCTCCTTCAATGGTTTCCTACCAACTGGCTTCAGGGGCCTTTCTGGGCACTTTATGCAGATGGACAGAACTGAAGTGTCTCTCTCAAACTACAGGGGGAAACTGAGGCCCTGGGAGGCAGCAAGTGTTGGAAAGAGTGCAGTGCAGGCCGGCCACTGACCACTGAGTGACCTGGGGCAGGTGCTTCAACTCTCCAAGCCTCTGTCTTCCCCATCCGCAAAATGGGAGGCCTGCCTTGTGGTATTGCCAAGATTAAATGAAACGAGACCGCATGCTGCAGGCTTAATCACCAGTCCAGCAGCTCATCTTCCCCAGCTGGTCAGAGGTAGAACAGGGGAGGATGTCACGCACTGTCCAGGGCACCAAATGGCCTCTCCCCATTCCAGCAAGGGCAGGTTTGCCAGTGGACAGCGGGGCAGGGCTAACAGATACCAAGCAGCCCCAAACTGGGCCTGGCTTTGTGTTGGGGAGGGGTGGTGTCTGCCTCCTGCTCTGGAGGAGGACCCTGAGATTCCCAGGCTCCTGGAGACAAGCCCTCCTCAGGTGCCTGCCATTGCTGGTTGCTGCTGCCGCGGAGCAGATGTGAGGAGTCAGCTGATCTCCAGCTTCTCTGCGAGAGACTTGCGAGTCAGAAACCACCATGCTCAGGCCACAGGGGCGGAGTCTCACCCATGGGGATGAAACTGGGCAGCAGTCCAGGCAGGCCCAGGGCACAGCTCGAAGGCTCAACCCTGCTCGGCTCCTCGGGAGGGCAGTAGTTTCCAAGCAGGCCAGAAGTGGCTATGTCCCTGCTATGGGCCAGGACACACTCCCTGCCCTCCTGGGCCTTGCAAGCCAGCTGAATGAAGGTGAGGGCATTATAGGAACTTCTGGTCCTAGGATCTAAGAAGCTGGGAGGCAAGTGCCATGTGGCCGGTGGCCCTGCTGGTGTGGGAAGTGGCTCTGCCCAAACCTTCCACTTCTAGAATCACCACTCGTCATTGCACCCAGGAGGGAGCCACGGTGTGGAGCCGGCTTTGGGGTGGATTCATGAGAGAAGAGGAGAGAAGGGTCAGAAAGGGCTGGTAGTGAGAAAAGCTAGTGGAGCTGCACAGGTCTTTGCCAAGAGAAACACAGATGTGGGACTCTGTACTGCTTGGGTCTGCGTCCTTTTTTCACTTTGGCAGTGCTGAGGATTGAAGCCAGGCCTCATGCTTACTGGGCAGGGCTCTGCCACTGCGCCACACCTTGAGGCAAATCAGGTGGGTGCTGCCCTGGGGATCAGTGAGCCTGGCCTGAAGTGGCACCTGTGATTCCCTGGTGAGGCTGGGGCTACGCTCGGGGCCCAGCCCACTTGGGAAGCGGGGGCACACTGTGTGCCTGGCAGGAGCTCACCTGGACAACAGAGATGTGTCCATGCAGCACAGCAAACGTCAGCGAGGTCCAGTGCCGGCTGTCGGGGTGGACGGAGGGGTGCCTGAGAGAGTTGTTTGGAACCTGGAAAACGCAACAAAAGACTGATGTTTCCAGGGTAGGTGACATCTCTGGGTAGGTGACAGAGGTACCTTAGCTAGGAGCCTGCCCTGCAGGGACAGTGAATAGGAGCCAACTCAACTTGACTGGTAAGGTCTTCCTGGAGAACTCTTGTACAAAGCTCAAAAGGAAAGGGTGGGTGCCCAATTAGTGATGTCTGCCATGGGCTAAATGGCAGAGCAGGGAGCGCTTCATGCCTCAGAGGGAGGCAGAGCCTGCAGTATTTGGGGATGCTGGGGAATGGTGGCTGTTCTCTCCATTCATCCCCCTTACCTCCCCCCCTTTCAGCCCAAATCATGAGGAAAATCTCTGCATCTGTATTTCTAGCTTCCGAGACACATCACACCATGGCTGCCAGAGACCTCAAGCTGGGCTCTGGCTCAGGGCCTGGCTCACCTGGATGTCCAAGTTTGCTCCTGCATCAATCAACATCTGGACCATGGCTTCGTCCCCCGCAGCACAGGCGTACATCAGTGGCGTCATGCCCTGCGTGAATGGAAGGCAGGTGCTGAACCAACACACATCCCACAGGCCTCTGCCCCAGGAACCCTGGACAGAGCTTCCCACCTGATCCAGTTGCTTCTCCCTAGCCCTTCTCCTCAGGCTTCTCCCGCCCCTTGGACACAGGACACCAGAAAGGTAAGTAGGGGACATTTTCACAAGCACTGTGGACGGCAGAGGTGGGGGAAAGCACAGGCACATCAGTCTTAGATGCAAAAGCCACCTCTGCCACAGGTAACTGTAAATTTTATAGAAGGGCCCCAGTTTCTTCATCTTTAAAGGGGGAACAGTATCTGCCTCATAGACTTGCTGTGTGAGTTAATGTGTATAAGGTGCTTGGTACAGAGTAAGCTACCTAGATAAAATATCACCACCAGCATTACCTGTTCTGTCATCATACACTGAGCCATCATACACTGAGCCTGTGCATGGAAATCTGTACTAGGAGACTGACATGCAGGGTCTCATTTACCCTGTGCTATTCCTACTATTGTCCCATCTCAGAGATGAGGAGCAGAGAAGGGGAATTAACTGCCCAAGGCCACATGGCTAACAGGAGGCAGAACTGGGACTGGATCCCAGGTCCGCATGAGCTGTGAAGCCCATGCTTTGAGGCGTCACCCCAGGGAGTGCAGAGCCTTTGCCCTGCATCTTGCACCGCTGAGCCATCCAGGGCTTTTCTGGAAGCTGCACCCCGCTTCCCCCAGGTTTGGGGGGCGGTTAGCAGGGCTGCCTCCTAGTTGGGTCTCCCTATGGCCTGTAATAGCAAAGGCGGGGTGGAAAGCGTGTATTCCACAGCTGGAGCCTGGCAAGCATTTTTCCAGTGTTCTGCAGTATTATTTATTAGGTTGTGTGTGTGTAGACAAGATCTCCTTAACTCATAAATCCTTGTCTAGTGCTCAAAGATAAAGAAATGGCCTGAGATTCATCATGGGGCAGAGGACTGTTTACCCACACATCGTGCTATAAATACCAAGAAGGTTTAGGGAACAGCAGTATAGAGCATTCAGAGAAAAGCCAAGGGCAACATAACAAAGCTGTAGCTTTGTTTCGTCCCCTTGTTGACACAGTTGACTCCTTTCTTCTCCGCATGTCTGTACAAAATTCAGAGTTTAAACTGGTTCATGAGCCATAGAGGGGAGACTGTTAAAGGCTGTTTCCATCTCCACTCCAGGCACACAGAGGCTAATGGGGCTGTGGATCAGACTTTCAGGGACCTTCACTGCCATGATCGTGCTGACAACATGAAGCAGCACAAGCATTCACTGAGGTACCAGATGGACGCTCTCGGGAACCCCTATGTGGCAGGTAATTCTCCTTGTCTACACTGTGGGGGACTAAATCCTGTCCCCTACCCCAGCATCACCAGAGGCAGAGGCCTCCCCGATGCGGCTCCCGCAAAGCCCTGCATGCACTGACTGTGGGGCCTTGTGAGAGCCGCTATGCAAGGCTGCTGCAGCCCCGTGGTCTCCCCACCCCAGCCCTGCCCGAGTTGCCCCCTTTCCTGGGAACGCCTCCCACTCCTGTCCTCCCTCAGGCTTAGCTCCACCCCTGCAGCCGGAGGCTGCCACCCCTGCGGCCCCCACCCCAGCCACCCTCCGGCTTCACGTGCGCCTAAAATGTCACCACTTGCACTGAGCTGTCATCTCTTCTGAAAGCATGGCTTAACCCTCTGTTGTCATCTAACTTTCCCCATGCTTCTGTGTGGTCTCCCAAACCACACAGTGCCATTACGCACATAGTCACGGCTCCCAAAACAGAGTCAAATAAACAAATGGGCTACTCCGCCCTCGTTAGGCATCTGAGTCAGACCGCCTGGGTCCCGCTTGTACTGGCTCCATTCCTTACTCACTGTGTGACTTTAGGTAAAGCAACCTCTCTGTACCTCAGTTTCCTCATCTATAAAATGGGCAAGGTAATTGTTTCATTGGGCTGCTCTCAAGATTAAAGGAGTAACCTATGTGAAGCACTTAGAATAATGCCTGTAATATAGTAAATGCTGTGCATCAGCCGTTCATGTAAAAACAATTCAAACACAAAAAGCTCAAGTTAAATTCCATTTAAAATTGTAAATCACCTCCAACATTTCTTACCCCTCCTCCTGCTTCACTTTACTCCTTGGCACTTTTCATTAACATGCTCTACATTTTATGTGTGTTTATTTTTTTTCTTTTTGTGGTAATGGAGATTGAACCTAGGGCCTTCATACTGAGCTACATTCCCAGCCCTTTTTAATTTTTAAAGTTTGAGACAAGGTCTTGCTAAATCACTAAGTTGCCCAGAGTGCTGGGATTACAGGTGTGTTTTTCTCACTGTCTGTTTCCTTGAAAGAATGTCAGCTCCAGGAAAGCAGGGGTTTCCAGGGGCCTAGTATAGGAGGCACACAACACCCCCCCGAATATTGGCGATTATGATCCATAGCTCAATGTCAAGTTGACGTCTCTGGACTCTTCCCAGCCTTGGCCATCTGGGGCAGTCGCCAGCCCTCCAGCCAGGGAAGTGGAATCCACATTACCGAGGTTATCAAGGGGTCCCGGTAATGTCTGAGCTCACCTCTCAGAAGCACAGGGCTGAGAGTGTCTCAGGTTAGGACACAGGGACTCTCTCTCTAGCTCCAGCACTGTGGATTCCCAAGTCTGGTCCCTAAGTCCAGCCGAGCAGAACTCTGGGAAATTACCTGGTCGTCCATGGTGTTCACACCATCAGGTCCCAGGGCCTCGATGGCCTGGCTGATGAGGTCTGTCCGCCCACAGTTGAGCATCCGGAAACCTAGGTCCTGGTTGAACTTTTCTGTAGCAGCGCGGGCATCCAGCCTCCGGAAGGAACTGAAACAGCACTCGGGTCTGTCCAGAAGGGACCAGGAGGTGTGTGAGCGTGACTGAGCTAGGACCCTGCCCCTCAATGTCGCCGGCCCCGGCTGGGCTGACATGTGCTGTGAGGACGGCTGGAGGACTGGGACCTGTGTTCGCACCTGCCATGCCTGGCCCGACAAGCTCTTTTACATGAAGAACTGTACTGCTTTTCTGCAAACAGGTTAAGGAAGTGTGCTGAGCTCTTTGGACCCGTCAGCTGTCAGGAACAAACTCCCAACTCAGCCTACAAGGGACCCCAGTGGCCGGATGCTGTGTACCCTCTGCAGGGAGCAGGCTGCCCCTCAGCCTATGAAACAGTCCTGGCGGCCACAGTCCAGTTCTTGCCTCTGTCTCTCATCAAGGCTTCCTGGTATTGCCCAGAAGTACCAGAGCCGTGGAGGAAGGGGCCTTAGAATCTCATGGGCAGTTGACCCAGCCTGCGGGGGACAGTCAGATTATACCTGTATCTCCAGAGGGCATATAATGGACACTCCACAAGCGGCTCTGCCTAGGTTTTTGGTTGGGTCAAGGCATTTGTCACCCAGAGAGAGGGGCCCACACCTTGAGGACCCCCTTAGAGCAGCCCAGAGGTGCTACAGCCACCCTCTCTGACCAACTCCCCACCAGCCATCAGGAGCGGAAGGAGGCTGAGGGGAGTGAGCAGAGGCTGTGCAGTGCTGGGCCTGCCTTCCTCCTTGGTCCCTTACTTGAGCTGTCGGGGCTCACAGTCCAGGCCAGGCAGCAGCAGGCGGGCCGCCTGCCGGATGTCGCCGCTGTCCACAGTGAGGCTGCGGCGGTGCTCGGCGTAGGTGATGGCCACACGCATCCACTCCATCAGTGGCGGAAGCAGCATGAAGGGCCTGAGGGGCAGCAGAGAGAGAGGTCAGTGTGCGTGGGGCACTGCTGGGAGGGCAGAGGAACCCCTCAGAAAACAGCCACAAAGCTGGGCATCCCACAACCCCCCAGGCTGGGAGGGGTGGAGGGGACCTGGTTCTTCTGCTCATAGAGACTTCGATTTGTTTCCTCATTCTACAGAAACCTGTTCATGGGTCTGGAGGACTCAGTCATGGGACATCAGCAGAACTCAAGGGCCCTTAGGTGGCCAGTGAGGGAAGGGGTTTCCCAACATGTACAACCAGGCCTCCTGTCCCCTCCCAAGAATTCAGCTGTGGAGCTGGGGTGTTCCTCTCTGCAGAGGGGAGACAGCGTCTCCTGAGTAGTGGGCCCAGAGGAAAGTCTCACAGATCCAGGCTCCAAAGACAGCTTTGCCTCGAGCAGCTGTCACCTCATTGTGCCGTACAAACACTCGGATCCTGTCTTCACCTGCAGCGCCCCTCTTTCTCAGGCTCATCCTGAGACCCGGTGGGTGAGTGCACATCACACTGTCTGTGTGTGGTGGACAGTTGTCGCTTCCTCGGCTGGAATGGGGCTCACTGGGCCTTCTGCCTTCCAGGGCCGGGATCGGGGAGGAACCGTCTCAGGGGTCCTTCATGACACCAAGACCCATGATGCGGAGCAGCTAGACTCCGGGAGCAAGGCAAGGCTGCCAGCATGGGGTCTGTGCTCCAGGCTCCAGGGTGCACCTTTCAAAAGCACTATACATGCCACCAGGGGGCACCATTCCCATAAAATGGGACAGTGCCCCTCACCAAGTACCCCCCTCCATCCCACCCCTTTCGCTGCCAGCTCTGGGACTCAGCCTGGGGTGGGGTCCACTTGCTACCGATGAAGGCTTCCTCCTGTCCTCTGCCCAACCTGCCAAGTCCCCCATGGCGAAAGCCCTGTGGCAGAGCACTTCACAGGCCAATAGATCTCATGCCCCCAGCAGCCAATCTTTGGCTTCATGACAGTGGACACCCAGCCTGCTCTGGCCAGAATGGAGAGTGCTTTTCCCTCGCCAGGTCCCAGGGAAAAGACATCCCAGCCCTCACTGCTGGTGTCTGATTATAGCCCATGTCGGGCTCCTGGCTCCTGCCCATGTTCCCAGCCCCTCCTGATGCCTTATTCCTCCATCCTTCCTTTTTTTCTTCTTCTCCGTCCTTCCTTTTAAACTAAGCCAGGCAGTGGGCGCCAGGCCAAGGCAGGCAGTCAGTCCTACACATGCTCCACTTCCACTGGTACCCTGGGCCTTTGAGGACTGGACCTGCGCTGTCACCGCTGCCTTTCCCCTTGGCACGCAGCTGAGTTCTCCAACCAGGGAAAAGTCGGGCGCTTTCTCCTCAGCTACTCTGAGCCGGCTACAGGTGATGGCCAGAGACTGCCCGGATCACTTATCTCAGTTCCCCAGGCTTTAGGTCATCCTGAGTTTTAAATTTCTCTTTTTGAGGGTAAAGGATTCTTTTGCCTAACAACCACAAGCCCCAGAATAATGAGATGTGATCTGGAAGGTGACTCCTTCGGGAAGTGATTCTGATATGCTGGTTCTGTCCCTGCAGGAAATGGACAAGTCACTTGAGTGTGAGGGGAAATGCCAGGCTGGGGAAGCCTCACTGGTCCGGGCCTTCAGGGGTGCCTAGAGCTGCACTTCATTATCACCAGCCAGGCCACTACCTGTCACCAGCACACAGATCATAGTGCATAGAGCAACCCTGCCTGTTGCCATCTCTTCATGAAGAAGATCAATTCTCCCCTTTGCCTGTCTAGATTCTATTTAACCTTCAGGGCTTAGTGCCAGTGGCATCTCTTTTTGGAAGCCAAAAATCTCTTCCTGCCCTGAAACTCACTAGAATCCCTATGACTCTTCCAGCAGTGAATGTGCCCCATCTTCCTAATGAGACTATTCCTTCTAAGGCCAGGAGTGATGCCTTGTCTCTGCTTTTTCCAAAATATGCTCAGCCTGGGCTCTGACACAAGAAGTCTTCAATAAATGTTTGCTGAATGACTGAAAGTATAGATGAGTATCAGTAACTAAGTATATAATACACCCAGGTTTTTAGTTATGGACTAGGTCATGTTTCTGCCCAGAAAAATAACATCTAATTTTCAAGGGCACAGTGTTGACTCATGAGAGTGGGAAGCCAAGACTTGATGGGGGGAACTTGTGTAATCTAGGAAGGAAAAACAATCCAGTCGTGAAGTGTTTCTCTGTTTACAAGCTCTCCCTTGGTTAAAAATGCTCATTCAAACCCCCCAACAAGTAATTTGGAATTTTACAATTCTCATATTACAAGACTGGAAGGCAAGCTCAGAGAGACTTCTATATATCAATTCTTCTAAAACAAGGAAAAGGTTTCAGTTAAACCATCAGTGTTAGAGATGGATGTGTGAATAAAAAGATAATTCATGAATCTGCCAGCCATTCTTCCCCACTGTGGCCAATGGCCAAGATAAAGTGCCAAGTGCGGCTACTAGGCCTCTAGGCAGGCATCTCCCAGCTGCACTCGGGGAAATCCAAGAGGGAGTTGGGGAACCATGAAGCCCAACCAGATGGTGTCTGGATTCACTCTCCTGCTTCATGTCTTAGAATTTAGTGTATGAGAAAATGCAGTATTGATGCCCTCAGTGGTTGTACACCAGGGATTGGCTCACTGGCTGCATTCTACCATCTTGCTCGGAGACTGGACAGTTGACAACTATACTTCTTGGACTCCTTTGCAGATAGGGTTACAGATACAAATTAGGTTTCACCATTAAAGAGGGAGCAAGAGATCTGGGAAGTAGACATGAGGCCAAGGCCACTTTTGTGTCCATTTTGTTTTTGTGAACAGGTCACGAAAGCATGAAGTATTCTTGGTTAGTTTCCTACAGAACATTAGAATGTCTAGTTTCTATCCTTCTGGCACTCCTGAGACAGGGGTAGGAGTGGTGAAAGCAACGGCAAAGATGCCTTAATTCTAGCTCCAATCCTGAATCACAGCTCACAGGTGTGTGTTTGAACTCACAGCCTCAGGGAGAAGCCCCCACAGCCCCATGGATGAGCTCTGTTGTCCTTGCAGCCATTCCTTGAGGCTCAGCTTAGAATCTGCTCCTTGAGGTCTTCTTGTGATTCCGTTAGTCCCCATTTCCCTGCATTAAATCCCTTCCTGCTTAAAATACCTAGAGGGGTTTCTGTTTCCTGAATTTAGTGCTAATCAATATTTTCAAATACAGAAAGCCAAATCATCTCTGCCTCTAACATGGTCCGCCCCCCAAGTGAACCTCTTCTGGCCTTGTCCTCAGCCCTCCCGCCCCCTGGCCTGTGGGCCTCCGGTAGGCAGTGATAACACATGTAACCCCCATCATGGGCTGCAGATTCAGGCTGTTTCCTTTCTGGTAGTTTCACCAAGCTCCTTCCCTGAGCTTGCTGAGGAGAGCTGGGCTGCATTACTGCACATTCTGGAAAATCCCTATGAAAACTCCCGCCTGCAGCGGCTGTGCTGCGTCCCAACTCCATGGTGAGAGGGAAGAGCGAGGCTGAGACCATCTGATGCATGCGGTTCCCTGTGGTCTCCGCTCTGTTCTCGCCTGGAGAAGTGGCCGTTTTCCTCTTCTTGTGTCCCCTCGGGGCAGCTTGGCTGCCAGCGTTTCCATGCCAGAATGCAGATGCCTGCAGGGCCAGGCTGCAGAGCCCCTTTATTCACCCCTCGGCTGGGTCTCACCTCATAGTGGTTCTCAGGTCTTTTTGGTCTCAGAACCATTTTTATACTCCTAAAAATTACTGGGGACATCAAAGAGACTTTGTGTGTGTGAGATTCCATCAACACTGTATCAGAAATTAGAACCTAGAAAAGGTTACAGTGCAGGAATACACAAACTCACATCCCATTCGCTATAAAATGACATCCTCATCAGGTCGCACAGCCTCTGGACACTCAGGCGAAAAATCAGAGTGAGAGTGAAAATGGTATCTTCCAGGCAAAGCAGCTTAGAACCTGTGGACTCCAGGAAAGCATCTCTGGGACCCTAGGGGGTCCCAGCACTACACTTTGAGGACCTCTGCCTTAGAAGACAACAGCAGATCCCTAAGACAACACCACCCAGTGCCGGCTGACAGCAGTGGGCATGGGGCTGGGACCCTGGCCCTGGTGGCACAGGCTCCAGTAAACCCTGGAGTGGGCCATGGTTTGCCTGTGCCCTTCCAGCCCAGGGACCTGAGGCTCCCAGACCCCTCCCTGCAGCATCCTCCCTGGGAGAAAAGTCTAATTCCTTCAATACAACCGAAGTGGCTCTGTAACCTTGGGCGCCTCTTTGGGCCTATTTTTCTATTAAGGGAGGAGCTGTTTGAGTTAGAGGCTTCTAGACATTTTGCACAGAGAGAGAACCCTTCTGCTCTTATTTCACAGACTCCATATGTCAGCAGCTGTAACCGGTGCACAGAGTCAAGTGCATGGGCTCTGCCGGTGTCTACCAGGCTGCAACCTGGTAAATTCCCAGTGAATTAAACTGTGTGCTTCTGGGCAAATTACCTCACTTCTCCCAGCCTCAGTTTCTCCATGAGAAAAACGGGTCTCGATTCTTAGACCACCTCCCAAGACAGCTGAAAGAACGGATGCAAAGTGCATAGCTCAGCCTTTGGACTGTGGTAAGCACTGTGTGGACATTCACTGCTCTACTAGGTTAGCATCTGTTGATAGAGAAAGCATAATAGCAAGAAAGGCCAGAGGAATGCGGCCCTATTCAATGCCTCAGCTCCAGCCTTCTTAAAGTTCCGACAACAAGTGTAAACACGTGAAGCGGGCAGAAGCCTGTGGCGAGCTGCCTGCCTGTCTGCCATCCACCCCAGCCTGGTTCACGAAGCAGAAAAACAAATGCAAGCACCATGTGGAGCACAAGCTGCAAACTCTCTGGCGGCACAGGCCCTGGGCCTCGGCAGTGAAGAGGCTCGCACGGGGGAAGGGGCAGCGAGGACCAGGGGCTGACGTCAGGAACGTCGGGGTGGGCACAGAATCACTTGGGATCTGTGACCCTTGACGTCCCCAGTGCTGTCTGTGCCTAACTTAACCTGCGCCCCCCCCCCGCCCCAGCCTGTGGTCATTGACTTTCTGGGAGCATCTGCCTTTGTGTGCACAACTACTATCACATGGGGAGAGTCCATGAAACACACCAGGAAAATGGGTCTTTGTACGTGACCTGACCAATTCCTCTCACTGCTAGAGGAGGAGATGGAAACCCAGAGAGGCTAAGTGCCTCACGCAAGGTCACACTGCCAGTTCAGAAGCAATGGAGACACCAGACCCAGATGGCACTGTTCAGCTTCTCTTCATTTCTCCTTTTAAGATAATCGTATCGATGAGTGCCACTCTGTCGCTTCAAGCAGGACCAAGACTACACAAGCCATTTTCCCCATTTAAAAAATGGAGAAAAGGCTTCTTAAGGGATTGGTTTTAAGAGGTCCCTGCAGCTTGGAAAAAAAAACAAAACAAAAATCCTGCACCACTCCACAAGCGTATGATTTATTGGGATTATAGTCCTGTAAGCAGTGTCCTAGCAACCTGGAACGGGAAACGCCTCCAATTTCCAGTTCAAAGTAGGCTCTGATCTCCACAGAGGTGGGCAGAGACCTCTGAGCAAGAGTCAGGGTGGCAGATGGCACAAGCCTATAACTGGGGGCCGGTGACCCACGCCCCATGTAGGAGAGAGCCTCGTGCCTCTGCCCCGGACCTGAGAGTGGAGTGTCTGGGGCCAGCAGGTTTGTCCCATCCATTTGGGAGAAGTGGGGCACAAAGACTGGATGTGCCCACCAGCTGGAAGGGGCAATAATGCCAGGCCCTAACAGGCTGGGCCTCAGGGTCACTTCCACCTTCCGCTGAGCACAGCAGCTCTGGGGTGCATTCGGGACTGGCTCCCTGGGCTGGGAGACGTCATGCCTTGGCTGGTCCCTAGTGAGTTCCCCACCCCACCTGACAGCACCCTTGGGCTCCAGGGAGGATGAACCAGACACCCACAGGCACCAATCAAGGGAGGGGGCCGCCACCATGCTTCCATCCTTGGCCTTCAATTCTCCCACCAGCTTCGCCCCCTTTCAGTGGGAGGCACAGCCAAGCTCTGGGGTTGATGGGGTCAGGCCCGCGTCCCCACTTCTCACGAACCCTGCTGTGAGACCCGTTGCTCTCACACCCCTCCCCGGCTTGCTGTCTGGGTAGGGGAGGCAGGGAGCACTGCCCCTCCCCCACTGGAGCGATGGCTCCACAGACAGACTTCTCTGGGAAGGTGGGGGTTGGCTCTGGAGTTCCTTTCCGTGGCTTCCCGAAGATTTACAGAGTCACCGTGGCCCCAAACCAAGCCAAAACCTCCATGTAGAATAAAACCAACATTGTCCCACTGACGTCCTGTTCCACTCCCAGCACAAAGGAAGCGATTCTAGTCCGGCTCACATCTTGGATTAATTACTTCTCCAGGATTGCTTGGTAAACCAGAATGGTTTGGCTCAGCTTGGAGTCAGGGCTGGGCATGTTTCTCTCTTTGGACTCTCAGGCTGCCTCAGGACTTGCAGCTGACCTGTGGCACAAACTCTGCTTAGAGCCAGGCAACTTCTGGTCCAGGTGGAGCTTTGGGCTTTCCATGGGGAAAATACACCCTTTTTAAGACTCATCTGGTGCAGATTAAAGGCACTAGATAAAGCCTGCCTGGATTCACAGATGACTTATAGGTTTGTTTGGTTTCTTTTATTGGTATTGGGGATTGAACTCAGGGCCTTATGCATGGTAAGCATGTGTTCTACCACTGAGCTACATCCTTAACCCTCTGTGGTTTGGTGTGTGGGGTTTAGATGGAGCTTCACTGTGTTGCCCACACTGGCCTTGAACCCCTGGCCTCAAGCGATCCTCTTGCCTCAGCCTCTTAAGTAGCTGGGACGATAGGGATCTCCTACTGCCCCTGGTTGGATATGCATATCCATGCCACCTACGGCCTCTTCCCAATGAGTGTCCTTGAGTCTCAATGGCAGTCTAACAGCAGTGGGGTGTGAAGCCA